CACAAATCAGGAAAATGGATCTTTTGAGTGTATAAAACTGCTCTCCATTATGGGATAGTCACTTTAAATATAAAATTATTATTTAACCATTTTGTTAGAAACATGAAGGAGTAATAATATACCAGTGAGAAGGACTGAAATTAACCATTTGACCTAATGTTTTAAAATAAAATGCCTATAATCTTAGAATATAATTTATAGCAATTGAGTATACTTTATATCAGAAACTAGCAAATGCTCTCTGTAAAGGGTAGACTAGAGCATATTTTAAACCTTGTGGGTCCGAAGGTCCCTGTCATAACTCATCTCAACATTTGTAGTGCAGAAGCTTCTATGAACAAACTAAAAAATGAGCAAAATGTGTTCTGACAAAATTTATTTAGAGACAATAAAATTTGAATTTAGTTGTTATGTTTCAAAATACTGCTCTTTTAATCTATTTTTCCACTTGTTTGAAAATATAGAAACTGTTTTACCTTGTAGGCCTTTTGTAAACAGGTAGCTAGCCAGATTTGACCCATGATTTGACAGTCTCTATATATATATGGTTAAAACATTCTCATGTAAAAAGTATAGAATACCTAGTGTATTGTTCTGGTTTATTTATTTATTTATTTGTTTGTTTGTTTATTTATACAAGCACTGGGTACAGTCAGAAGCACGGGAGGGTGAGAGGATTCACCAGAGCCAGAGCGGGGAACAGAGCAGGCAGACTGACGAACTACACTGCTGAGGGGAGCAGTGGGTGGCAGGAGAGGTCTGCGCGCCATGTGGGACCCTCTCCAACGGCGGGCGGGGATCGAACTGGCGCTGCAGAGGCTGCGGGCAGCTTTGCAACCCAGTGCTTAACCGCTGCGCCACCAGGGGAGGCCATTATTGTTGGGTTTTTAAAAAATTTTTATTAATTCTAAGTTTTGATATTTTATTTGAACTACCGTTCCCTAATATTAAAGTAAATAGCAAAGTAATTAGATGGCACAGTACTGAGCCTAAAAGTTTTTGAGAGATTTTATGTCAAAGGTTATATCAGAGGATCCTCAGCCAGTGGGAAATTGGGACTTAGGTCTAATTTATCTTATTTCCTAACTGGCACCTTTCATCCTTTTAATTATGCATGGTTAAATTCTTCCCTTCTGGGCCTCCCCTGGTGGCACAGCAGTTGAGTGCTAGGCTGCGAAGCTGCCCGCAGCCCCTGCAGCGCCGGTTTGATCCCTGGCCACCGGCGAGGGTCCCACATGGCACGCAGACCTCTCCTGCTGCGCCCGCTGCTCCCCTCAATAGTGTGTTTCGTCGGTCTGCCAGTTCTGTTCCCCGCTCTGCCTCTGGTGAATTCTCTCACCCTCCTGCACTTCTGACTGTACCCAGTGCTTGTATAAATAAATAAAAATAAATCTTTAAAAAAAAATTCCTCCCTTCCTATTTTGTTTCAAATATACCTGTCTTATTAATGTTCCCAAATTAGCACATGCGACTGGATCCACAATTTACTTATGATGGATTTGCCTTGGTGTCTCTCAACCTTCTATTGTTTTTGCCTTTGAAGTGTCCCCACTTGCACGAATTAGGGAATTTTCTGCTTAGGTCACAATTTTGAGACTACATCCTATTTTTCTTTACCATCTTTACTTCTGTAGTATTGTCACATAACCTTCTTAGCCACTTAGAGCACAAAATATAAGCTGTTCTGAAATTCAGTGGTTAAAATCCCCAGAAAAGACAAAGTCACAAAGTGGAGAGTCTCAACATCTGCTTATGTATTTCTTTCAATACTTTGACTGATCCCGAAGTTTACATATGTAAACAGACTGTAGAGCGCAGCAGAAAGTGATAGCTTATAGAAAGGAGTTAAGGTACTATTACTGCCCAGGTTGCGCATTTGAGTCTTACCAGATATATCAGGGCTTCCATTGATGTCTCAGCCAGACCCTGTCTTGGTTGTAAAGACTGTCCAGTGCCTAAGTGACTTGTTTTAAGACTATGGGTTAAATTGAAACACACCTCCCTAACAGAGTATGAAGCAACAGTAAAGAAATATGAAACTAAGCAGCCACAAGTTGAAGATGATTAGCCAGTAGCTTCCTCTTAGAAGAAAAAAAAACAAAAAGATGAGAAAATAGAGTTGATACAGCTTTTCATCCACTCTGTCCAGTATACAACCAAAAATCATTAATCATGTGAAGACACAGGAAAACATCACCCATAGTTAAGAGAAAAAAGGTTCAATCGAGATGTTGGAGTCGGGAGACAATAGCTTTAAATCAGCTGTTATAAATATGGTCAAGAAGTTAAAAGGAGGATGTAATGAAAATATAGACTGTTTCTACGGAGAAATATACCATTTTCTTTTTAAAAAATAATTCATTTTTAACGAGGTGATATTGGGGTACCCCTCTCAGGTACCATGGTTCACCCACCCCCAACTCATCCATATTTCACCACCATAGACCACTGTGCTTCCTCCCTCTTCGTTCTTTCCTCTCCCCCATGAATCCCTTGCTGCTTCAGTTCTGTAGTCAGTTGTTAAGGCTTAGTTTTTCAGCTTGTCTTTATCTGCTGTTAGTTACATTATGTTCCACATAGTAGTGACACCATCCAGTATTTGTCTTTCTGCTTCTGATTTTTTAAAAAGATTTATTTATTTATTTATACAAGCACTGGGTACAGTCAGAAGCATGGGAGAGTAAGAAGATACACCAGAGCCAGAGCAGGGAGCAGAACAGGCAGACTGATGAAATACACTGCTAAGGGGAGCAGCGGGCGGCAGGAGAGGTCTGCGCGCCATGTGGGACCTTCGCTGGTGGCCAGGGATCGAACCGGCACTGCAGAGGCTGTGGGCAGCTTGCAGCCCAGCTCTCAACCGCTGTGCCATCAGGCTCCCCTGCTTCTGATTTATTTCACTTAGCATTATCCTTTCAAGCTCCATCCACTTAGCCGTAGGCATGAGTTTATCTTTTTGATCACTTAGTAGTATACCATTGTGTGTATATGCCACATGTCCTTGATCCACTCACCTGCTCTGGGGCACATAGGTTGTTTCCATAGTTTAGCTATAGTAGATAGTGCTTCAGTAAAATGGGAGTGCAGGTTTCCTTTCAAATTACTGATTTTGAATTTTTTAGATAGATGCCTAAGAATGGAATTACTGGGTCGAATGGTAGATCCATTTTTAGTGTTTTGAAACACATCCATACTGCTTTCCCTAAAGGTGGACTAGTCTGCATTCCTGCCAGCACTGTAGGAAGGTCCCCTTTTCTCTGCATCCTCACCAGCACTTCTTTCTGGCCTTTTTGATAGGAGTCAGTCTCACAGGTGTGTGATGGTATCTTCTTGCAGTGTGATTTGCACTTCCCTAATAATGCATACGTGTGAACACTTTTTCATGTGTCTGCTGGCCATTTTAATGTCTTCTTTGGAGAGGTGTCTGTTTAGTTTTTCTGCTGATATTTTGATTGGATTGTTTTGTTTTTGTGGAGTTTTGTGAGTCTTTGTGTATCTTTGATATCAGTCCTTTGTTATAGATGTATGGTGTGCAGATATTTTCTCCCATTCTCCCAACTAAGGTGAATTTTCATCTTAGTTATAGTTTCTTGCACTGTACAGTAAGTAGCTTTTTAGTTTGATGTAGTTTTTGGGTAAGCTTGCAGTGACCATATTATGATGAACTGTCTCTATGTCTAAGAATAAAGTACTCAGAAAACAGTTTTGGAGGGTGAGAGGAAAGGAATACAGGAATATAGGAGGGATTATAAAAGGTTAAGATAGAGTAAGGAGATCTGGGTTCTCATTTGAGTTTTGTAACTGGTCAAGCACCCACCCTTGGCAAATCATTTAAGATCTTACTGTACCAATATTTGTACAAATTTGTTCAATTTTTTTCATGTTAAAATGTCAAAATTGGCCTGAATTCCAACTCTCTTCTTTAAAGACTTGTAATGGAAAGAAGACTAAGTAACTTTGTCACCATGTATATATATAATCCTGGGCATCAAGACTTCAGTTATGTATTTGTGATACATTTAACATTATTATGTGCCACGTGAAGTGATAGATACTATTCCTGTAAGAATATTGGGTATTGTTTTTCTCATGAATCACCTGGCTGTATTGGAGTTAGATGTTGTTTGATGGTAGACAGAAAAAAACATCCTTTCTAAATACTGTTATTGAAAGTTTCAATTCCATAATATGTAAATAGAATCAGGAGTTATTTAAAAGTAATCACATTTTTTAAAAGTAGTCATTTGTCTTTTATTTTCTGCTTAACTTACTTATTTTTGTTGTATTTGGCATTACAGAGAAAGCATGTTAGAGGTTGGACTAATTTAAAACATAAATATATATATTTGTGTGTATGTCCAAAAGTCAGAAATAGATAGAAATTAATTTACTTTATTTGATATTTTACATTCCAGTTTATAAATTTATTTCTTCCTTGAGTCTAAAATTATTCTGAAAGTGACTAGAGAAATTTTTGTATTTGGAGATAACACTTCCTTCTTCCTTTACTTGGCTGTGTCAGAGTTGGACATTGTGACTTCTAGATTTAAAGTTTTATAAACGTTAAATAGAGCTTAGTATTTTTCATTCAGTTAGTGTTCTTATACTTCTAGCCCAGTAAAGTGTACAAGGACAAAATCAAATGAAGCTTTGCAGGTTTCCCGTGCACCGGTGCTCGTTGACTCTTACAGGTTACTTGAGTATGTGATGCTCTATCCCTGTCTCCTCCTCAGTAAGGAAGCTACTTCGTAAATGACTAAGACCAAATGTAATTGTTGTATAAGGGCACAATTAAGAATATCCCAAAAGAAAGAATGACATCCAATATTTAAAACATTTACACTGCATTTTAATTCTTTTTTTTTTCTTTCTTTCAGTAAACATTGCTGTCTTCAGGAAATAAGTTAAGGAATGAGAAGCAAGAAAGAGAGGATATTCATCTTAGAAGGACTCAGAAGCACTTTGAAAATTAAAAGGAATGTAATGATAGCTGCTAGACCCTCCTTGGTCACTGAAATGGATGAAGTACTTCAAATTTAAATGGTAACCAAAGTTCTCCTTTCATGTTGTTTCCACCAAAACTTTGATGACTTGAAAGAATTTCTTTTTAAATTTAAATACTTTACAAATACCAAAGTATAAATTAAACTGCCAAAGTATAAATGAAACTACTAATTTTGTAACTTTAAATTTAGCATAGCCAGGTTTTATTTTGGCCCCTAGTAATTGACCTTAATATTGATTAAGTAATTCTTACTGTTTTTCCCCATTCTGAATGTTTTAACTTATAAACAGATAAGCTTATTTAAGTAAGATATGGCATAGTACCAGTACATTTGTAAGTCCATCCTTAACCAAATGTCTTTTCCTTTCATAGATAATGCAGACAAGCATAAGTGGTGGTATTCTAGCAGGTCTCCAAAGGCTTTCTAGTCTTGTTTTCTGTACTCTATTTCATGTTGTTTTTTAGTTTTTCTTATTTAACATCTTGTCTCATAATCTTTTTAGCTTTATAGCTTTCATTATTATGTTACTTAATTTTTATTTTCTGCTTTGCTCCCCTTCTTGGGAATTTAGAGTTATAAAAGATACAGTTCCAGTTAAGAGTTCACTCTACTCAAGTAGAGTGAAAAAAGCAATTATAGAAATATTTGATTTTTTAATCAGCCTTCTTAAATCTCCTTGATCTTCATCCAAAATTGTTTCAATGCATGTTTTACAAAACTTAAATGTTTGCAAATGTTTTAAGCATCTTAGTGAACAATTAGAACTTATTCATGGGAAGTTTATTAATTTGATTTTGAGGGATAATCATTTGTTTGCCTGAGTCACTATGTCTTGGTAGTGATTAGGTTCAATTGTTTAAAACTTCAATCTTCTTGTGAAATACAGAGATGTGAAAAATCATTCAAATACTGTTTCTTTTGTGAATACTAATGATTCTAAGAAACATTATGACCTCTATTTCAAGGAAATTATTCAAATTGGCAAGTATAACCCAGAATAAATAGTACATAAAAGAATTAATGTTCTGCTTACTCTCCCCTAACACTGACCTTGATAAAATGCTAACATTAACCTTGGTAAAATGTCTTAACCCCATTTTTTAAATTCTCCAATGAGTATTTGAATCTCTAGTTAGAACATCTCTGTGCTCTTGTCTCTTCCCACCACATAGCAACTGTTAGCTTTTTTAAACGTCCAATAAGTTCCATTAAAAAAATAAAGTTGAAGGAAGCAACTTTTGAAATACACAGAAATTAAAGTGTTAAGTGTTCACTTATATTAGTGAGATGATATATAGAAAGTCACCAAATTTCTCTTTCTTCTCTTTTAATGATATAGTTTTCTTTACCTATTTAATTATATCTAATTCTGTAATCTTAAATTACAGCTTCATTAATAAACCCAAACAAACTATGTTGTCAGAAATTTTATTGTGAGACTTTAATAAACTCTTGTCAAACTCTTAACTCCATTTAAATCCATCTTAGCAAGTTTAAGTAACCATGGATAAGATCATTGTAATCCACAGATGGTGAATTTTTCTAATCATTAATTTCCACCATTTGCACACCAACTTTGTATTCACTTTTCACACAAAATGTATGTAAGTTTATAATATTTTCAAGAACAAATTAGAATGGGTCAGAACTTGACCTCTCTTCAAAATAAGATAAGAGGACTACATTGATTCTCCCATCAAGTCCAGTTCTGAAGTTAGTACTTCGAAACCAGGAGGGATGCAGAATTAAAGAAGATCAAAGATGATCATCTGCATTTATGTATTATTTAATTTTTATGCTCCTATCCAAGCTGAGTGTCTCTAGATTCCCAATTCTGCTGTGGCTTTTGAAGATGGAATGGAATCAAACTTCTACTTGTGCCATTAACACAATTTCTGGTCTGTACAGTTCTCAAAGAAATGAAGTAAATTGTCCAATTTCCAGTTGCTAGTTAGAGATAGAGCAGGTATTTCTGACTCAGCAGCCTGAACTTTTAACCAGAAGTTTATTCTAGTTTACAAATATTCAATATGACTTGTTGAAGTTACTTCTTTACCTAGTAGCAGGTAAAGAGAGGTCTTATTATTAGCAGTATCCTCATTTTGACTTTGTAAAATTATGCCCCCTTGATGTACATATTATCTTCCTTTTGCAGCAGCAATTTGTCAATATTTTAATTTATCAAATTCTTGATTATGTTCTCAAGGTGTTAGTCATTATGTAATATAAAAGAAAACAGAATCTACACAAAGTGAAAGTTTAAGTTACTTGAATATAACTTCATTAAACCCATATTTTATTTGAGATAAAGGACAGAGAAAGGAGATAGTTGGAGGAAAATTACAAAACTGACCTTTTGGCTTAGCTGTCCCCCCATGAAGCCTTATTTACTGTTCTCTTTATCCCCACATGTTCACATCCACACAAAAACATGTATGTATATGTTCATACCAGCTTTGTTGTAATAGATCCAAATTGCACTCAACCACATGTCCTAAGATAGGTAAATACTTAAATTCTCTGTGGTGCATCTATCAAGGAATACTATATTAACAATAAAAAGGAATGAACTATTGACAACTTGGATGTATTTCAGGGACATTATGCTGAGTAAAAAAAGTGAGTGTTGGGTCTCCCTAGTGGCACAGCGGGCTGAGCGCAGTGCTCTGAAGCTGTCCGCAGCCTCTGCAGCGCCGGTTCGATTCCCGGCTGGCCAGGGAGATTCTCACATGGCGCAGCAGACCTGTCCTGTCTCGCCCGCTGCTCCCCTCAGCAGTGTATTTCAGTCAGTCGGCCTGTTCTGCTCCCTGCTCTGTCTCTGGTGAATTCTCTCACCCTCCCACGCCTCTGGCCTGTACCCCAGCTCTTGTATAGATAAATAAATCTTAAAAAAAAAAAGAAAAGAAAAAAGTGAGTCTTAAAGGGCTGCATACTATGTGAGATCATGTATATATATAACCTCAAATTTTCAAAATTATAGTGCTGGAAAAGAGATGAGCGGTTACCATGGGTTTGGGAATGTATAAAGGAAGTGCGTAAGGGAGATTTTGGCAGTGAAGGAATAGTTTGTGACTGTGATACCGAAACCTGAGCCCTGCAGCACAGGCCACGGGGCAAGACCTGCTCTTTTTCAGTGGCCGTTTTCCAGCTGCTGCTGGAGTTGCTGTAATCACGTTACGCCCATGTGATAAAATGGCATTTTATCTTGCTATAATAATATAGTATAATTAATATAATATAATATAATATAATATTAGTATAGTATAGTATAATATAATATAATATAATCTTTTTCAGAGTCCCCTATCCTATCTCCTGCTATAATAAACTACCCACGTGATAAAATGGCATTGAATATAAAAATATATTTACCAATATCAGTTTCTTGGTTTTAATATCACATATTTATGCAAGATGTGACTTGGGCAGACTTGTTGAAGGATACACAAGGCCGTTGCTGTCCAGCACTCTGTAATGTCATTGCAACCTCCTATGAATTTCTTTTTGAAATGAAACATTAAAAAAAAACCCTGTCATCATTAAGTGTGATCCAGTAAATTCAGTTCTATAAAATGCAAGGTCATGTTCCTTCTGGGCTAGTGAAGTGACTCAGGTGAACTACACAGATACTCTGTAAGGGAGTCTGAGAGTGCAGATGTGAGTTTCATATTCTCCTCATCTTATCCACTGGCACCTCCTGCTTTGGCTTAAATATGGTCAAGGTTTGTCTAGGTCTTATGCCTGCCTGGCAGACCTCTAGGACGATGCCATTGTTTTAAAAAATATACCAGCTAGCAACTATTTTATGAGCTGCTCTGGGTAGATGGGATCGGGTGAGTCCTAGGAATGCTGAGTGCTGCTCTCCAGCTACCTTGGGTTTCTAGGAGGGATTGTTTGCTGTTTTCCACTAAGTCACTCTCCTATTCACATTACAACTTTTCCTTCTCAGCCACCACTTGAGAATAGGGGTTTAAATGTACTTTCAGCCAATTGTATAATATAATTATCTATATGTTTTACTTACTTAGAATAGTTTTCAATCCAAGATTCGGTAAATCTTAATTTTCTAAAATTTTAAGTAAAAAGTGTGTTTCATGGCCCCCATGTAAAGCTGTATAAAATGAGGGAAAACAAAGAATAACAAGAAGTTATTTCATTCTTGCTTTCTAAACCAAGGCAATAAATTCAAAATGATCTCTCAGATTTTTTGGAGAGAAGGATGAGAGACCCTCTGGATTATACCCCTAGCTTCTCATGGGACAACCCAACCTATCTGACTGATGGAATGAACTTTATGCTCTCTTTACATGCTAACTCATTCATTCGTTCATACATTTACTTGAGAAAAATATTTGCACTAGGCAAAGAATTAACTTACTTTGTGTTAATAACAGATTTAAGTGGTTTGTATATGTTTTCTCTTGATTGTAATCATGTCACTGTGCAAACGTACAGGGATACAAAGAAGAATACAGTACAGGTTCTGTTTTCAGTGGCTCACTATCTTTCAGGCCAGGCAAACATATAAATGGACATAGGTAGCATTTGGTCAAGTGCTTAATTCCATGCTTTACCTGCCTGGGAAGAGTGAGAGAAATTTTTCCAAAAGCACAAAGACTGTTCCTGGATAAATAGGAGTTTACTCTCAGGGGTAACAAAGGAGAAAAGAGTTCTAGGCAAAGGTAATGAGATATCTAGAGATATATCTACCTGCTCTATGGGAAAAGAAGCTTTTGAAGTTGAAGATGTTATCCAAGATATTTTAGTGTGATACCCTTCCTTTACATTAAAGGAAATGGAAGCTCTAAGAGGCAAATGTATTTACCCACTATAGTATCTCTTTAAGTATTTTTTTCAAACTATATAGCTCAAAATATATTTTGGTCAGATATTACTCTACTGTAAGAGAGATGCTTCTTCCTCATACTGTTTTTCTATATAAATTTGCTTCTAAAAAAATAACTTTTATTTCTCTTTAAATTTTTATTCTGAAATTTCCAAGAATTCACAAAAACTCAAAGTAATATAACAAATGTT